TGATTTTGAATAGAAATATTTAGCAGTACAGTAACAATCACCAGTATGAAATATTCAACCTTCAGTAATACACTTCTTTTGAACTCTTTAGCGCAAGACTGAATAATATTGAGTATGAGTTATTGCCCTTGTTCTTGAAAACGTGTTCAATTTTTAGCTCGTGAAAACTCTAAAAGGCAAATATTCAATCTTCGGCGCGGGACTTAATAATAAAACCAAGTTTTGTCAAAATCCAGCAAGAATCATACATTTTAGTTTTTAAGAGCTAAATTTGAAAGCATTTTCAAGAACAAGGGCAATAACTCATACTAAATATTTTTCGATTCTTATGATTTACAATAGGGTTCATCCTTGGGTGATTACGAACACTCATACCAAGTTTTGTCAAAATCCTTCAAGAATTGTGTCTTATAGAGTGTTTACGAGCAATTGTGGACGGACCGACGGACGGCCGGACCGACGGACATGGGTGACGGCAATATACGCCCCCAATTTCATGTGGGCGTATAATAATAACTGTACCATTATGGTTGACTCCAATTGACTCAACATGTCTGTGCGAGACGTTCTCTACATCTATCCCTTGATACAAGTTCCATATCATTTACTACTTAAATCATTTTTCTGAAAAACACTACACCTGTTTAAGCTATTTTCTCTCATTTGTGAAGGGTAGCCACAGTGTTCCGAAAGAGTGAGTTTTGTCTAACTAGCACTTATTCTAAATAATCTAAATTCAATAAAACACTTGTGTGTACTAATTGTTTATTAAGCAGCCTAAATTAGTTTTCGTGACGGGCTATTTACAGACTCAATATTTTCAGTTGAAACCTTTAGAACACTTAGGAGACATATTTCTCAACAATCAGTCGTTTATTTTCCTACAACCCACATAGTAGTTTTCTAACATCTACTAAAACACATAATGGGCAGAGTTTGCATGGTAAGACCTTGAAACTTGGAACATAACAACCTACGATGGGTGTGTACCTTCAGTGCAAATTTCAACTTTCCGTCTCTGATAGTTTTCGAACGGCAGCCTGTCAAAGTTTAGGTCTTCACCCCAACCAGTGGAACAAGACACTATAATTATAATTATCATAATTTTTGTACTTATTTGCGCTGATTCTCGAGCACATTCCTTCCGTCCATCCTTTGTCAGCAACATACTCCCGATTTATATGATTAATGTTTAAGTGATTTCCAAAAAATTACCCCATGGGCGTCTAGGCGGTGAAACTTTTATCGGTGGTAGTCCGATATCCTCAACTTGCCTGCAAATTATGATCCGATCAGTTGATCCGCAAAAAAAAATCTTTTATGTATCAATTTAGTTTGATCAAACATAGGCTTGACCTGATTGACATAGTCCACTGATGAGATCCGTGGACAATTTATTTTACGAAATACCCCTCCACTACTCATTATACGTCCCTCTGTGGTGCATCGTTTTCGTCATATTATTCTTTATGACACATATAATGTGGGAAAAGAGTGTCTTGATTCTTGATAGAGTGAGTCTACACTTGACCACGACGTGATCTGTGATTGACAGTCATTTCACTGGCTGCTAATATATACTACCTACGATTAAGAATAGATCGTTTTATCGTGTGTCCATGTCGTTTTTATTCGGTAGTGGTGGTTATGAACTAACGCATAGTTTTAAATGTCATTCCTGTGATAGAGTCTACTCCTACGTGTAGGAATACGTTCTTTTCCGTCATGACAATCGAGGGTTGTCATTACAAATGAAATTACGTCTTTATAAATAAATACAGATGATCGCGACTACTTTACGGTTATGGCACAACAGATGGGATTTATTTAAGACTTGATAATCATTACTATACATGAACCAATGAAAGAAGGTTGAACATAGATGGCCTAATGGAATGCAGGGCAATAACACAGTTATACACCAGTTGAATAGGGAGTTTATTCAGGGCAATACTAACAAAAACTTGGAAAAATACAAAGTGAAAATGGATGTTATAGCAGTTTTAGGAGTATATTCAATATTATTGGTGTCCTTAGTATTAGGTAAGTAATTCTTCTGCTTACTTTTAAGCTGGTTTGTTATGAATGAAGGAATTGGGTCGATATTTTCGAGTAATGTTTGTAAATATTGACATTGGATAAAGTTAGAGATGACATGTCAAGTGTAGCGATGCACCATATCACGCCACTCCGTCGTTCTTCACTAAAGCAAGCTCAAACTAAACCAGCTATGTCACAGGATTGGTTTTCTTTTTGAAGATTTAAGATTATCAAACAAAAAAGAAAACTTTTAAAACACGATTTGATACAGGTCTGAACATACAGGACTTTTAGTAGGCCTATTCATCGGTTATCAGCAGATCCTTGGAGCTCCTTCATTCACTTATTTATTTATTCCTTCACTCTATTACCTGGTTCATTCGTTCATCTATTCTTTATATCCACATTTAGTTTTCTATCTCTCTATCATTCTTTATTTTTCGTATACTCGATTATTAATGTCAGTACCAGGCCCGTAGCTATCCTGAAAAAATTCTGACGATCGACCAATTCCATTACTGCAATTAAAAACCATACTCAACTACCCCTCCGGATATATCACTTGCCCTTGCGAACAATCAAGTCTGGTTAGCACATCTGCATTTGCACTCCGGAAATTCATTCATTCTATTAATGAGTATACGAGGGCAGAGAAATTTATCCATTACTTCATTCAATCTTTACTCATATGTCTATTCACTCGCTGATTTATCGACCCCTTCCTTTAACATTCTAAGACAAACAGAATATTGAGAGAGATTTCCCATCTCATTCTCTCGTTCTTATTCTCGTATATATCAGTAGTCATCTAATCACTCTTCTTCAGGGAAGAGCAGTCAAGTATAAATAACGAAACACATATTTCAAGTTTCAAATTCTCAGATTCCAGATAAAATCTTTGATAACTTCAAGAATGTAACGTGTTCATCAAATTTCGCTTGTCGTCTGCAGTAAGAAAATAATACTTCATTCATAATTCTGTGCAAAAAATAATTTCATATTTGACAAGGCTCCATTCATGATTTATGCATACGGGTATATTAGATGAACCTCAAACAAATTTTTAATCAAATATTTTAAAAAAACATTTTCTGTTATTAATATCTCATAAATACTATTATCTAAATTCTAACTCGAGAATAATTTCTCAATTATGTTGTATTGATATAATCATATAAGGATATAAGGTTACGTATATTTGGATATTGCACTTGAACAATATTGTCTGTATATCCTATTGTTTAAAGCGTCGAATGTTTATCAGATTAGGTCAAGGCGATTATCTCCAGATTATTTAATCTCTCTGACCTTTCGGCTCTTCTTGTCAACACCGTCTGATAAAACCACTGATAGCATTTTTACATTTTGATATATAGATAGACCAATTGACGTTCTTAGGGGGATGTTGTAACGTCCTTTTTTTCGTATTCATTTGTGACTTAGCCGACTTAATTAGTTATTATATTAGTTTTAATATTTTGATGTCCTTTGATTTCCCCAGCTATACATACTATGGACTTTGCTTAATCACAAAACTCATTTCTGACCCATCCGATTGATTTTCTCATTTTGGTGTTGATGATGGTAAAAATTCTTGTATATACCGTATCAATATTCTTTCGTGTAATTATATAAGTGATACCACATGTGTTATCATGTTTGTATTAAAGGGACAGAGTCGCAATCCGCGTTCCCAATTCGGGTTCCCAATTGTACTTTAGTCTCAAACTGAAATATTTTAGCCAGGCTAATCAGTAATAGTGTTCACATCATTCTCACCGTAGTAATTCTAGTCTTCCGTGTCCAGAATTATCCGCGTTTGAAAGTTAGAAAGATCGATTCTTTTCTTGGGACTCTTGCCATACATAAAAAAGGACAATGAGTTATACAATTTTTGTTCATTTCTAGTTCTTCTGAGGACTATTTACATATTTACATATTTACATACGTATAGACCTCAACCCCCGAATATGACGAATGTCCCTTTAATGTGATTAACACGAACACAATTATATGGATAACAATTACTTTAATAAATAACTTGCGACGTTTCGACGATGATTCTTTCGTCTTTATCAAGCAATGATTGTGATTGTTGCTTTATTGGTATGATTTTAATTAACCCCTTATGTACCCTATTTTGTGATACACATATAGACTTATCATTGGCCATACTGTAATTTCGACACTTTCAAATTTTTTGTTCTCTTTTCAAACGTTATGAATACAGAGTGATTGATATTTAAGGAATTAAATGTCTAGGGATAATAGCTCAATAAGGGTTCAGTCGATGAATCATATTCAATCACACTAAAGATTTCAATAGATGAGATAAGGTCTTGATATTAAATGAATGCAATAGGGATATATGTGCAAGGTTTTTTGTATCATAATAAGCCATGGTATATTGTTACCTGTTATGAGTAGGCCGTATAATATTTACAATGAAACACTGTTTATCATTCAAAACAGGTCTAATCTTCAATCTACAATATTCATAAATTAGAACGTGGGCTTATTAAAAACTGCATATTTATTGTAATATGACGTAAAGATAGCAGCAGATGGACCTGTAAATTATAATATTGTAATGCATGTAAATATGTCACCCATGCAGGACTTGGTGACCTGAAGTATGAAGATCACATTCATTCATTCATTCATTCATTCATTCATTCATTCATACACGACCTGGTGATCTGAAGACCAGATTCATTCATTCATTTACTCATTCATTTCACCCATACAGG